ACACACACACACACACACACAAACACATTGGGGAGAATCAATTCTGAAACAATTGTGTTCATATGGCACCTGTACTTAGATCAAGAGGTAGTCATTAAACAAAACAAAGAGAAACTAAGTGATTTAAAATCAGGAAAGGTGTGTGCCAGGGTTGGATTCTTTCAACATATTCAATCTGTATGCTGAGCAAAGAATCTGACGAACTAGATTATAAGAATGTGCATAACGACTGGAGAACTACTCATTAACAACTTGTGATGTGCAGATGATACAACTTTGATGAAAGCAAAACAGACTTAAAACACTGATGAAGACCAAACACCACAGCCTTGGGTATGGACTGTTCCTCAGTGTAAAGAAAACAAAAATCCTCAGTGCTAGATCAACAAATAACATCAAAATAAATGGAGTAAAGATTGAAGTTGTGAAAGGCTTAATTTTGTTCAGATTAACCATCAGCATTCATGAAAGCAACAGTCAAGAAATCAAACAACATATTGCATTAGGCAAATCTGCTACACAAGTTCACTTTAAAGTGTTGAAGAGTAAAGATGTCAGTTTGAGGACTAAGGTGTGCCTGACCCAAGCCATGGTATTTTCAATAAGTTCATATGCATGTGAAAGTTGGATAGCAAATCAGGAAGACAACAAAAGAATTGATGCATTTGAGTTATGGTGTTGGGGAGAATATTAAAAGTACCATGGACTGTCAGAAAAATAAAAGATAAGGAACAGCCAGAATGCTCCTTCGAAGCCAGGATGGCCAGACTTTGTCTCTCATACTTCACACATATTATCAGCAAGGATGAGTCCCTGGAGAAGGACTTGGTAAAGTGGAGAGTCAGAGGAAGAGAGGAACACCTTCAATGAGATAGACTGGTACAGTCGGTACTGCCTTGAAGGTACCTAACAATCAGCAAACTCAAACAAGATGAAACAGGGATCAAGAGGGTAAACGTAACAGTAGTGATGGTTATGTGCCATGCAGTAGGTTCCGACTCATAGCGATCCTGCATAGGGTTTCCGAAAGCCTCATCTTTCTCTCGTGGAACAGCTGGAAGTTTCAAACTACTGACTCTGGGGGGTTAGTAGCCCCAATCGTAACCACTACGCTACCAGAGCTCCTTAAATGTAGAAGCAGATAGTACCAAAATGTTGCAATTAGGTTTTAAAAACATCAATTCACAGAAGTTTAATTCAGGACCTCTATTTCTTTTTATTAAAACCAAATTTAAAAAAACTCCTTAATGCGGACGGGGCTCTTGTGATACAATAGTGAATAATTGTTATCAGGACTGACCGTGAGGGTTGGAAATGTAAAGGTAGATGTTTTATAGCAAGGAAGGAAATGATTAACTTTTCAGTCTAGAAGCGGAGATCCCTAGGACCATCAAGGGAGAAGAGCAGAGAGCAGAGAGCAGGACCCTACCCAGAGAAGCAGTGATGCCTGAAATGGAGACAGAGATTATGACGTGAAGCGATGGAGCAGCTGGGCGCTTTAGATCCAGAGAGGGAGAGCAACTGTGTGCGGAAGACCTGGGAAGTACAGGGGAAGGACTGCAGGGTATACCCTTTGGTTGGCTGATAATGCATGGAGGGGATTGTAACCATGGCAATGAGACGATATATGATAGAATGAATGTAAAACTAATGTTCTCCCATGTAAATAAACTATCACATAATTCACAATAAAACATTTAAGAAAAAAAAAAACAAAAAACTCCTTAACACTCAAACTAACATAATAGATTCTGACTCACAGGGACCCTAAAGGATAAACTGTTACATAGAGTTTTCTTTAGGGGAGCCACTTCATTCTCCCTTGTAGCGCAGCTCATGGGTTTAAATTACTGACCTTGCGGCTAGCAGCCCAATGCTTAACCCAATGTGCCACCAGAGCTCCTTTAGCAGATGACGACTATGAAACAGCAAATACAAACTCACGCTTTCTCTTTATGTCTATGACTGAGTTAACAATATGAAAGGAAAATGAGTTCCTGTGATCCATGAGGGCTAGGCAGTTCAGAGTTCAAATCAAGAAAGATTTATTCTATTAATTGGATATATCTGTACATTTCATGTTTGATTTTAGGAATCACATTTAAATAAAGGTTCTTTAAAATGCAAGAGTAACCAGCATTGCAAAAAGGTACTGTCAGAAAAGAATGACTGACCTCAGAGATAGAAGTAAGTTTTGATACGATTGATCTAAAGGCCAGGCTGTCAATACAAAAGGAATAAATGGTTCAGACAGCTCCAAAATGAAGAGTAGTAAGTTAAAGGAAACTGGTTTCAGCTCAATACAAAGAATTGACAATTGTAACTTATTTATAAATGGTACCAGCTGCTTTGGAAAGTGCTTAAATATTCCAACTGCTCAAAAAAAGGTATTAGATGTGGAAAAGAATTTCTACTGAAATATAAAGAACAGAGTGGCATATAAAGCCACAGGCAATTAAGATATAAAATCACAAAATATGGGTATCTCACAAATGTATGGACTCCTGGTGTGGTGCTGCAGGATCAGCATGGACTACGAACCACAAGGTAAGCAGTTCAAACCCACCAGCTACTTCTTGCAAACCCTATCCAGGGTTGCTATGAATCAGAAGTTATGAAAATGCCAGCCCACAGCTGATTACAACATTAAGTGTACACGTCAAATGATTCTGTTGAATACACAAATGAAAGTAGATCAATGTGGTAAATCATTTGCAAATCAGCCATGGCTCAGTCTATGAAATAATCCACTTGGGTTTCAAAAAGTTTGTGTGAGACAGGTACCAAAACAATTCACGGACAAGCATAAACAGATGCATTTGGAAGGACAAAGGAAAGTAAAAGTTTCTTTAAAGGAAAAAAGGAAGAAAAAAAAAGTTATTAGTGATGAGACATGGATTCATCACTATAAGCCTAAAACTAAATGGCAGAGTATGGAATGGAAACATTCTTGCCAACCAAGAATAAATTCAAAAGTCAACCATCAACTGGAAAATTGATGCTTACAGTTTTCTGGGATTCTCAAGGGCCAGTACTGGAATACTACCAGGAAAAAGGTTCAACAATCAACAGTACTTGCTCATTAAAGAGAGATGCTCATTGAAGAGCCAAAGGCTAAATTTCAGATTAAATGAAGAGGACTGCTATCCAAGGGCATTGTGATCTTGCGTGACAATGCACATTTTCACCTCTGCCCACACTGCTGACACTCTGCAAAAACTTCATTTTGAGGTGTTAAACATCCTCCCATAGTCCTGTGATCTCCATCCACTGGACTTTCACCTGTTTGGTCCCCCTGAAAGCAGTCCTTGGAGGACGAAGATTCACTTCTGATGAAGAACTGCTGACATTGAGATTAGCAACCCGATCCATAACCACTACAGCTACTCTAAAAGATAGTCAAGGAGATTTTTTTTTTTTTTAAAGGCCACTGATACATATACACTGGCAATAACTAGACCTCTTAAAAGGGAAAAACTGACACAACTTCCCATTTTTAAGAATTAATTGTGGGCTTAGGATATAAGGATTGATTAGGGCACATAGGAGCAGAAAGACTTCACTCTACTACTAACTATTGTTGTTAAGTGCCATGAAGTTGATTCCAACTCATAATGACCCTGTACGGGGTTGTGGTGCTGTTGGATAAGCCTTGGAATGCTAACTAACAAGCCAATGGTTCAAACTTACCAGCTCCTGTGCTCCTTGGAAACCTGATACAGAGTCACTATAAGTCAAGACGGTATCAACAGCACTTAATAACATCAACAGTGTTTCCAAGGAGTGGCTGGTAGGTTTGAACTTCTGACCTTGCTATTAGCAGTCCAGAACTTATCCTACAGCTCCTCACCAAGACTCCCCACTAACAGTACCCAAGTCATTAAATCTCAGCATCCATTTTATGAAGAGTAAAATGTACATGTTAGAAAAGCTAAGTTCCTTTCCAACAATAAAATTCTGGTACATTAGACTTGGTAAAGATTTACAGCTTTGCAACTCTATACAGAGGATGAATCAGAACTGACTCAATGGTATCAAGTTAACTGAATACTCACATTAGAACTAAATACCATCTGTTCTACTAAGCCCTTATGAAAAACCTCTATCCTAGGTTTCTTATAATGTTCCACAGTTCACAGAAAGGCACTTTCATTTAAGACAAAGTAACCTTCTTTTAGACCTTTACTGTTAAAAGAGCATAAGAAAAAGAGAGTAGGAACAAGTTTGACTTAAAAAACATGTATTTCTCTGCTTTATGAATAGAAAATTCTATGAGGAAAATTCTTCAGAAATTTAATTAATTTTAAATAATTCTCATTCCACCACTCTATCATAACTGAATGATTCTTAAGAGACTTTATATTCAATTGTATTGTCATTACAAATAACACAATTATATTCCAAATTTACCAAAATAATTTAAAAAAATGTTTCTAGTTCAAAAATCACTTACTATTTGAAGCTTGATTGTTTTCCCATCTAATTCTATAGTTCTTATTTTGAAATCCACACCGATTGTGCTGATGTAGCTTTCTGTGTATGTATCATCCTAAGGGGGGAAAAAGTTGATGATTAAAATTCGTGTTCAACATAGGAAATAAAATGCCTACTTTTATCTATAAAGTACATAAACTCCAATCATTACATGTTGGCAACAAGGAGGGCTCCACATCAATTACAAAGCACTGATCACTTAAGCAAAATAACTGTTTTTCTTTCCCTAAGACTGTATCCAGTAACTATTCTTTATTTTCCAAACTTCTCTTGGCAAATTCTTTACATGTATTAAGTAGAAAAAAGTTTACATTAGTTACAATTTCACAATTGCTAAATCAGCAAAATTCTGCCCCTACCCACCCAATTTACTCACCACAAAGCAAAGATCATGTCATGCTCTTGGTGAACTGCTTATTTTAATTTAAAGAAATCAGTTTTATTTCCCAGTTAGGATCTTTTTTTAATTGAGATATAATTTAAATAATAAAACATTATAAGTGCATAATTCAGTGTTTTGATATGCTCACAAAGCTGTGCAACCATCATCCCTACCTAACTCCTGCACATTTTCATCATTCCACAAGGAAACCCTGGACCAGTTATCAGTTATTCCCAATTTCCTCCAGTGGAGTCCTGGTGTGGCACTGTGGGATAAAGCAGTGGACCACAAGGTTGGTGTGAAACCACAAGGTCGGGGGTTCAAACTCACCAGCCCTTCCTTAGAATCTGTATACAAGGTCGCTACAATTCAGAACCGACTCCACGGCACTTATCAACAAAATTTCTTCCCAAAACCATGAATCTACTTCTGGCTTTATGAGTTTACTTATGTTAAACATTTCATATAAATGGAATCAACAATATGGTAGGACCTTAATGTCTGACTTTTTTTTACTTAGCACAATGTTTTCAAGGTTTATCCATGCTGTTACATGTATCAGTATTTCATTCCCTTTTGATGTTGTTAAGTGCTATTAAGTTGGTCTGACTCATAGCAACCCTGTATAGGGTTTCCAAGAAGAAGCTGATGAGCTTGAACCGCTGACCTTGCAGTCCAGTGTTTATCCTTCAACACCACACCAGAACACTTATAATCTTTTAGTGCCTAATACCATCCCATTGTATGGACACACATTTTGCTTATTCATTCATTAGTTGACGACATTTATATTGTCTCCACTTTTTGGCTTTTATCAATAATGCTGTTATGTGTACACTTTTTTTACATCAGTATGTTTCTTATAGCTGCTTTATCTAATGTTTAACTTCTAAAATTATACTTGCTTCAAATATTCACCATAATATTTTTCTCAAAAGAAAAATGACCCCTCACTTCTTTAAATGAAAACATTTCTTGTGAAAAGGTATGTGACTGGAGAGATCAGTCTATCATTATTCTGAACCCAGCTAATCAATCTTAGTGATACTCTAAGTGGGACAACCAGACTTGTGTGCCACAAAACACAATTCTGCCAACAATGATGAAGCTAAACTGAACCAAGTTTAAATTTAATAAAAGTAGCACTGGCAAATAACTTTCTGAGATGAGGTTCTATATGCTAATTGATGTTGTTAAGTGCCACTGAGTCAGGTCCTACTCATAGCAACCCTGTAGAGGGTTTCCAAGAAGCTGCTTGGTAGGTTTGAACTGCCAATTTTATCTAGTGGTCCAGCGCAGTATCCTACAGGGTCACACCAGGATTCCATGAGCACCTGAAATGTGGCAAGTGAGAACAAGGGAGTGAATTTTTAAATTAAACTTAAAATACCCACATGGGGCTAATAAATATACTACCATATGAACAGCACAGTTTTAGGCTTTCTTCCAATTAAAGAAATATGAGGAATATAGAAACACATGTACGCATACTACAAAGGAACAATGACAAATCTAGAATGTTACGAGAAAAATGATCCAGTTATTGCAAAAAAATCAATGACATTAAAAATATAGAAATAAAATATGGGGAACGAGATTAAGTAGAAAGTTAACCGAATGGAATGTGTGGACCATGTCTGGATCCTTACTCAAGCCAACTGCAATACAGCACTTCTTAGATAATCAGGAAAATCTATTTTGCAGGTGGACAATGGCACTGTTGTTTGTACGAAAACATTCAGTTTTTAGAAATGCACACTAATGTAGGGGTAAATTACTTGTTTGGAATTTATATTGCAACACATCAGAAAAGAAAAAGGAAAAGGGATTACAGGAAGTAAATTTGAGAGTCTTGATGGTCCTGAATCTGATGTGTATAAAGGAATAAAATAAAAACTACATCTATAAACAAAATCGCAATTTGTGCTAAGAGTTACAAGTAGCTAAACATAGAAATGCTGTCCTCAAAAGAAACAAATTTGGATAGTTAATTTCAAGTTCTAAATGAACTGGTTTATAAACCATTACAGTAGAAATCCTTGCTAGAGAAATTAATCCAATCTGTTAAAAATATGTAGAAAGGCATTATGTTGAGTGAAATCAGTCACAAAAAGAGAAATACTGCATAGGACCTCTACTGTAAAAGACTAAGGGAAATAACCCATACTAAAGGGGGGTGGGGGGATTCTTTGTTGATAATTGGTATGTTGGGGGTGGGTGAGGGGAGGGAGGGGAAGGGTGAAGCACAGGCCAGGGATTAGACACAGGATAGTTTGGGTGCTAGGGAGGGGGCAATATACAAGTAGGGAGAGGGGAATGGAAGAACAAAGCAGACAGGAGAACAATTAGACAGGTCTCAATGGGCT